TTAAACATTTTCACATTAGTGTTGTTGTAAGGAAGAATTAGAACCAATATGAGGAACCCCCAGAAAGAGGAAACAAAACTCAACAGAAGAAGAAAATAGCAAATAGTATGCTTTGATCTGCATTCAGACTCCATAGTTCTTTCTTTGGATGTGGATAGCATTTTCCATCATGAGACTAAGTCAGTCAACATTAGTCATCACACAGTGTGGCTGTTGCTGTGTACAACGTTCTCCTGGTTCTGTTCACTTCACTCAGCATCAGACCATACAAGTCTTTCCATGTTTTTCTGAAGTCTGCCTGCTCTTCATTTCTTATAACACAATAATATTCCATTGCATTCATATACCACAACTTGTTCAGCCATTCCCCAATTGATGGGCATCCCTTCAATTTCCAGTTCTTTGCCATCATATTTTTGTACGTGTGGGTCCTTTTCCCATTTTTATGATCTCTTTGGGATACAGCCCTAGAAGTGCTATTGCTGTGTTAAAGAGCATGCACATTTTTACAGCCCTTTTATAGCATAGTTCCAAATGGCTCTCCAAAATAGTTGGATCAGTTCACCACTCCACCAACTATTCATTAGTGTTCCAATTTTCCCACGTCTTCTCCAACATTTATCATTGTCCTGTTTTGTCATGTGGGCCAATTTGATAGGTGTGATATGGTCCTCAGAGTTGTTTTGATTTGCATTTCTCTGAACAGTAGTGATTTAGAGCATTTTTTATATGACTGTACATGGTTTTAATTTCTTCATCTGAGAACTGCCTGTTCATATCCTTTGACCATTTATCAGTTGGGGAATGCTATGTTCATTTAAATTGATGAGTTTTACATTAAATGTGAACCCATTCCATAACTCCTACAATTTGGATTTTTACCAATTTTTAATTAGAAATAAAAAAGCTTGGGGCAGCTAGGTGGCACGGTAGAGTCAGGAAGACCTGAGTTCAAATCTGGTCTCAGACTAGACATTTGACACTTACTAGCTGTGTGACCCTGGGCAAGTCACTTGACCCCAATTACCTTGCAAAAAAAGAAGAAGAGTTAATATAGCTTTTTAAATTTCTTCTTTTTTTTTTAGCCTGAAAAAACCAACTGACTTCCCAGAACCAACTTTCTTTCAACTATTGTACCAAACTCATTGGCAAGCTTTGGAAAGAGAGAGACAATGATGTAGTGCAGTGGTATCAAACTCAAATAGAAAAGGGGCCACTGAACCATACATAAGGATCCCTCTGGGTCACATTGACTTAGTGAACAACATTTTAACATTATCTATGTTCTGTTATTTTAAAATTTATTTTGTTAAATATTTCCCAATTATATTTTGGTCTAGTTCTGGCTATACTCAGAAATGTTGTATAGGGAATGCTAGACTTGTAGAAAGGAAGAACCAGGTTCAAACCCTCTCTTCTTTACTAGTGACCAAAGGCAAGTGACTTAAGTTTTGCCTGAATTTTTGGCAAATCTCTATGACTAAAAGGTATAGAAGGGTTGCTGTCTTCATGTTGGTGTTCCATCAGTAAAATCATAAATCCTTCATGTATTGGATGTAAGTTTTAGAAAAAGAAAGGGACTATCCTGCTGTTTTGAAGTTTTGAAAATCTCTTTGTATTTATAATTATTAAATTCTGAAGAAGAACTTAAAATTAGTCCCTGGTGGTACTAAATGCTTGTGTAGGTAGATACGTGAACTCTCTTAAATTTAACCACCAGGTGCCATTGACAGCCAGTCACCTGATTCTGGTTTAACTCTGAAGACCTGGTTCCTAGGCAGTCCCCACCCTCATCTTGGTAGTTTGCCCATATCTCACTGTGCAGAAGTGATGAGAGTAAGTGCTGTGTTCAGGTTTTCTGAGTGTCACAGGCCTCAGCTCCATCTGTGTCTTTCCCTGTAGGATATTCCTGACTTGTTATCAAAGGGCATGGGATTGTGAATTTACCAAATCAGTCTCAGTGCCCCACCTACCTATAAAACCTCACCTTCTTTCTAAACAAAGTATATTGAAGTGAGTTCTGGTCATGTGACCTTGGCATAATGTCACCATCCACCATAAAAACAGATAAGCATGCTTGGCTACTACCTAGAGTTGTTTTTACTCTTAGAATAGAATTGATAAACAAAGATTACATAATAATTAGAACACAATGCATTATAATAATAATAATAATAAACATCTACCAAGCAACTACAAGCCTGCCATTCACCTATACTCTGGAAGTTACTACCCAAAGGATTAATCCGGGGCACCTAGGTGGCACAGTGGATAGAGAACCGGCCCTGGAGTCAGGAGTACTTGAATTTAAATCCGGCCTCAGACACATAACACTTACTAGCTGTGTGACCTTGGGCAAGTCACTTAACCCCATTGCCTAGCCAAAAAAACAAAAACCAAAACCAAAGGATTAATCCAAACCAGGAGTTCTAGGAAATACAGTGCAAGTGTTTCATTCTTCATAATTATACTTTCTTCGAGTGAGCAAAGGAAAGTCAACAACTTGGGTTCTTCAGGAAGTTCAGTTCATTCATCCAGCAGGGCCAGTCATTGCATGAAGAAACAGAAAAGTCTAAACTAATTATCTCACTTCAGCCTATAGTGTGGAATTTTAGAATCTGGTGAGAAATGGATCTCATGAGGATTAGTGCTGTCTCCAGTCTGAGCTCTTTAATTGTTAGCTTTCAGCCTCACCCTGCCCAGTGTGATACAGAATGAGTAGACTCAGCAGCCAGTCCCAGGAAGGAGTCATGTTGGCATCAATATCATTTCCCTCCTCTAAGCTTGAACTTGATCCTAGCACCCCTCTGCCACAACAGCATCTTGTCACTTCCTGTGACCACCTCCTCGTTCGTTCTGCCATCCCAAGTTCCTACTGTTCAGTATGGAGGGGAAGGGAAGCAGCTGTAGAATGAAGAGTGTTACACAAGCTGTCAGAGGATCACGTAATGCCTTACTGTCCACAGTGCAACAAATATGGCAATGCAAAAGCCCCTCAGATTTCAAGGGAAGAATATGACCATCTCTGTCCTGGGAAGAAGTAGCAAACTAGTTTAGGCATAAAATAATTTTTAAAAATATTTCTAATATAGTACCAACAATAAAACTGCTCTTTAGTGAGCTTTTCTCAATAAACCTCAAAGAACTTTAATATATTTAACTATGGACTAGTATTTCTCTTAAGAGTCTGACCTTCAACCCCCTTTGGCTTGTTTCCTGTGCTAGCTGAACAAGTTGTCCATCTTCGAAGTCAGAGACTGGGACTGTGCTCAGCCTTGAAAACTCCATCTGGCAAAACAGTCTTTATCGCCCCATGGCTTATCTCAGGCGAGGAGTGAATGCTGTCTCAAAAGTGAACTGTCTTGAATTGGGCGTGAACTAAAAAAAAAACTTAGAAACCCAACAAATTAAAAAGCCTCAATTAAGCACCAGAATAAAAATCCTGACAATCAAGGAAGAGATTAATAAAATAGCAAAAAATAGGATTGAAAAGGAAATTAAACTAGGAGCTTTTTTGAATAACATAGATAAACAATTAGCTAACTTGATTTAAAAAAAGCAAGAAGAGAAAAACCAAGTTCCCAAATAAAAAATTGAAAAAGGAAAATTCACAGCGAATGAAAAAGAAATGAAGGATATTATTAAACTCTATTTTTTGCCCAGATTCATGGAAATAAAGCTGATAACTTAAATAAAATTGGCGAATAATTTCAAAAATGTAAAATATTTTGAGTCCCAGTCTCCAAAAAAGACAGTCCAGGAGGCATGTCACTTTGGGGATACGTGTTTTCTGCCGGTGTTCTTCAAATCGTACTTTTACGTTTGTGCTCATTATTCCATATATGCTGTGTATATTTGCAGGAGAGTACACCCCGGTTTAATGGCAGGGAATGTTTTGTAGTTCCTATTCAATGCTTTGTCAGTTTAGTAAATACCTTTGTTCTGATTGTGTCTACTGACTGATTGTTAAAGAGAAATGTGACCAGTGGAGGCTTGTGAACTGTAGTAGGAGGAGCCTTGGCCCATGGACTGACCCTGGAACCTGGGAGTAGTAGTTGCCTCTGAGGACTCAATCTATGAGTATGCTAATTGTAGGAGTAAACTTGGAAAGGGATGTTATGTATATTATATTATCTAAAACTATATCTATTTACTTCCACAATACATATATTTTTACATAACTATCTTTAGTATGTATACTGTATCCCTAATTCTCTTGTTCACTTTGAATTATTTCATGTGGATATTTTGCTAGTGCAGCTGGTGGCCCAGTGGATAGAGCACTGGGCCAGCAGTCAGGAACACCTGAGTTCAAATTTGGCCTCAAACACTTACTAGCTGTGTGACCCTGGGCAGCTCACTTAAGCTTTGTTTGCCTCAGTTTCCTCAACTGTAAAAAAAATTAGCACCTATCTTACAAGATTGTTATAAGGATCAGTTGAGATATTATTTGTAAAAGTCCTTAGAACAGTGCCTGACACATAGTAGGTGCTATACAAATATTTATTCCCTTCTCCTTCCTTTTTCCCTCTATTACTTAAGATTTTTCATAGTTATTATTTTTATGGCAATAACTATGTTGATGTATTTTCTGTTCCTCAACCCTTGGAACTTTAGATTGTTTCTAATTGTTTTGCTATGTATAAATTTATATTAAGATACTTACATATATGTGTTTGTATATATATGTTTGTGTGTGTGTGTATGTGTATAACACACAAGTCTAAGCAAAATGCAGGTCTTTTTTTTCAGGCTGTATCCCAATAGTGGGGTCAAAAGGTAGGACTAGTTTTGCTGCTCATTTTGTACGTGCCAGATTACTTTCCAAAAAGGCTACGCTTATTTTCATTGCCACCAGCAAATGCATGCATGTACTTCTCTCCCTTCCCCCAGCCTAGCCATCATTAGGCTTTATTAATTTGATTTATTTTGGCTAGTCAGCTATTGTTTTAAATTATATTTTAAATATTATTAGTGAAAAAACTTCTTTCTTTTTAAAGACTCACCAGTCCTCAGTCCAGCTAATTCAGCTGTTAATTTAAGTGGAACTCAGGATCTGCCCAGGAACAAGAACCTTGTGAAACCACTGGCTTTATCTTTGCAGATTGTAGGGAAGACGTTCACTTCAGGTAATGTTTTCCTTGCTATTTCAAGTCTCCTGTAAAACCATAGTCCAGAAGGAACTTGTTGTGGAACTTTTTGTGACAAATTGAAGAGTAAAAAGCTATATGCCTGTTTGCCAAATGAAAAAGAGAGAAAGTGAGGCTTAGTGGCCTGAAGCCTTGTGTCCTCTGCATCATGCCCAGAGAATTGTCCCCTGTGGCTTCTGACCAGCCAAAGAGATATTTCTTCACTTGTCAGTGAGTGCTCAGGGAGCCTTCCGGTGGTCCATGTAACAGAAGAACCTCAAAGACCCTCCACCTTTTCTGCTGCTCTCAGTGAATTTTAGAGCTTGCTAAAGGATGGGTGTAAAGCTAGGATCCTGTCTTTGAGCCTCTTAGCTTTGTGATTCCAGGCCTAAGGCCCCACAAAAGCTTTCGAAAAGGCTAGTCAACTAGGATAAAAACACCATCTGGATGAAATTTGGGAACAGAAAGCTCTCAAATTCCCAGCATGCAGGACTACTTAACAGTCCCTTAAGTCATATTATATAGTCCTTTGTATCTTTGTTCTGAAGAATGTATAATCAGACTGACAAGTCTTAATTTATATTAATTTGGGGGCAAATCACTTCGCCTCTTTTTGCAAAGTTACATTCAAAGTTTCCTCTTTGTAAAACGAAGGAACTTGGATTACACTTTTGCAGCTAGGTGGCACAGTGAATACAGTGTTTGACTTAGATATATTGGTATCTGTATAATCCTAGGGAAGTCATTTACCCTCTCTCAGCCTCAGTTTCCTCATCTGTAAAATGGGAACAATAATAAATCCGTGTCCCTGGGGTTGTTGTGAGGATTAAATGGGATAATGTATGTTAAGCTTTTTGCAAACCTTAAAGCACTATAGATAAATGCTGGCTGTTATTCTTATGTGGGAATTATGCTTCTTCCAATACTAATTCCTGTGAAAGGAAAGATTTCCTTTGACTCTCCCATGTATTCTGTTTCCTTGACTTGATATAATAAAAGAATATGCCTGTATCAGGGAAGCTACCTTCTTATGATCTGGAACAATGTTTATCTTTAGGACTAAAGAGGAGACAAGTGTTAGGACTTAATCATGCAAAATCTTAGATGTGGAAGGGATCTCACGATCCATCAGGATCAATACATCCCTGAAAAAAAGAATACCATATTCAGCACATGAAATGATGGTTATTCCTCTTTAACTCCAAGAGCTAGAGTGCCAGAGAAACCAGTGCCTCCCAAGACAGCCTAATCCACTTTAGCACAGCTTTAATTGTTAGGAATTTTTTTCTTACATCAAACCCAAATCTTCACCTTTGCTAGGTCTACCCATTGCTCCTAGTTCTGCCCTTTGGGCCCACCCAAAATAAGTCTGATCCCTCTTCCACATGACCACATTTCAAACACTTGAAGATAATTATCATGACCTTCCAAAGTAATCTCTTCAGGCTAAACATCACCAGCTCTTTAAGTCATCTTCTTGAGGCCTGATCTCAAAGCCCTTCACCATCCTGGTTGCCTTACTCTGGATTCTACTCAACTTATCAATGTCCTTCCTAAAAAGTGGCATCAAGAATTCAACAAGATATTCCAGATTTGGTCTGATCATGGCAAAATACAGAGACAGTCATCTCCTTGTCTTGGACACTATGCTTGTCTTCATGTAGTGTTAACTTTCTTGGCTACCATATTATACTCTTGGTTCTTACTGAGTTTGGAGTCCAATAAAACCCCCAGATCTTTTTTTTACAAGAATTGCCATCTAGAAACACCTCCCCCAGTTTGTACTTTGAAGAGTTGTAAGGCTCTGTATTTATCATTGTTAGATTTCATCTTATAAGATAGCTCAGTGTTCGTCTGCCACGATCTTTTTGGATCCTGACTTTTCCATTCAGATTGTTGGCTATTGCACCAGGCTTTGTGTCATTTGCATATTTGGTAAGCATCCCATCTATATCTTTATCCAAATTATGGTTAAAAATGTTAAATGATATAAAACCAAATAGAGATGCCCGGTGAACTCCACTAGAAACCTAATTCCAAGTTGACATCGAATCATTAATGATTACTCTTTGCAACAGGCCTTTCAGATAATCTCTAGTTCAGATAATTATATGCTTGTGTAGTCCACACCTTTATTTTCCTGACTAACAATATGAATGACTTTGCCGGATACTTTTTTAAATCTTGATAAGCCATATCCACAATATTCCCTTGATTCACCAGTTTGGTAATTCTGTCAAAAAAGGAAATGAGGTTAGTTTGGCATAAGCTATTCTTGATAAAACCATAATGGCTCGTTGTCACTAAGAATTCCCTGTCTAATGTTTCTTAACCGTCTTTATAATAACCATAAATCTAGAATTTGGACAGGTACCAAATGGAAACTCCCTGACCTATATTTTGCCACCTCCATTTTTAAAAACAAGGACAAAGTTTGTTCTTCCTGAGCTCTGCAGCACATATTCTTTTCATCTTCATCTCCTGTTTATCTTTAAAAATAGTGGTTGAGCAGTCACATCCATCTTTTTTTCATTACTCTGAGATGTAGCTCGTCTGAGTTTAAAGGCATTTGCTCATCAAAAACAGATACGTACCCTCTTCCTATACTCTTAGTTATCTTACGTGTCAATAATTATTGAGCATCAGTGCCTTCTCATTGTTAGTTTTTATCATCCCATCCCCACATACATAATGGCCCTTTTTCCCTTCTTGGAAAAACAGAAACCTGTGTTTTTGTGGCCCTTAGCTTTCCATGCCAGGTTTAGTTCATTTTGAAGTTTAATGCTCCTGACCGGATTCTTAGAAAATTGTGCCATGCTTTTGAAGACCTAGACATGACTGAAATGACTGGGCAAAAAAAAATTTAGCTATCTCCCACTTCCCTTCACCTTTTACCTGTCATCTTCTTTTTGAATAAAGTATATCCTTTCAGATCCATATTCTAAAGTCATGAGTTCCATTTTATCAAATCTAAATGATAGTCAATTTTGTCTTCTTCTGTTAAGATTTTCTAGTTCACCATTTTAAAAAACTCATACTTTGTGCATTTATATGTACCCATTTTAAGACATAGATTTTACTGCAGTCTTCATTTTTGCTTTGGGGTCCTGTAGACTTCCAGGTATCTCAACTGTTATTCTTCCTGCTGCCTGTTTCCATGAAACTGAACTTCATCCAATCAACAAGCATTTATGTTAGGCACATGCTGTGCACCAGACACTTTGCTAAGTGCTGGGGATTGAAAGACAAAAATGAAACATCCTCTGTCCTTGAGAAGCTTATAATTTAAAGGAGGACAACATGTGCATATACAGGCATGTGCTAAATTTATAAAGGAAAATTGGTGGAGGAGGAAACAGCAGTGACTACTGAAGGAATCAGGAAAAGTTTTATGTAGATGGTGGTATCTCAGCTGAACCTTGAAAGAAACTAGGAATTATACAAGGCAGAAGTGAGGCAGAAGTTCATTTTAGACATTAAGATGGCGATGGGAGATGGAGTGCCATTTGTTTAGTCATTTCTCAGTTGTGTCCAACTCTTTGTGACTCCATTTGGGGTTTTCTTGACAAAGATAATGGAGTGGTTTGCCATTTCCTTCTCCAGCTCACTTAACAGATGAGAAAATTGAGATAAACAGGGTTAAGTGACTTGCCCAGGGTCACACAGCTAAGTAAGTGTCTGAGGCTGGATTTGAACTCAGGTCTTCCTGACTACAGGCTTGGTGCTCTATCTAATGCTCCACTTAGCTGTCCTATGGAGTACCAGAGATATGGCATAATGAGAATGCCAGTTTGGCTGGACTATAGTATATGCTAAGGGAAGTAATATGTATTAAGGCCAGAAAGGTCAAATAGGGAGGGTCAGTTTGTGAAGTGCTCTAAATATAACAGAGGAATTTATATTTGATCCAAGAGGTAGTAGGAAGACACTGGAGCTTATTATATAAGACCAGGGGAGTGACATCATTCATAGACTTATGGATTCGTTGCTGGAAGGGAGATTAGAAGTAATCTGTTCCACTCTTCCCATTTTACAGTTGAAGAAACTGAGGCCTAGTGAGTTTAAATGATTTGTCCAAGGTAACACAATGTGAGTGAGAGAGGATTCCAGGTCCATTTACTCCAGAGCCAGTGTCCTTTCTACTGCTCCACACTGCCTTCCTATAGTCGACTTGTGCTTTCAGAGACCTGTTTTGTCAGTTGTATGGAAGATGGATTGGAATAGTAAGATACCTGAGGCAGAGAGAACAATTGAGTGACTATTACAATAATCCAAGAGGTAATGAAGGCATGAACTAGGGATGCTGCTATGTCCCTGAAGAGAAGGGGATGGATGAGGGACATGTTGTGGAGGTAGGAATGATAAGATCTAGTCCCTACTTGGATTTATGGTTATCTGGGGTGAGGGAGAGTGAGAAGTCATGGATGATACTAAGGTTGCTAACCTGGATGGGTAGAAGAATGGCAGTACTTTTGACAGAATTAGGAAGGTTTGAAAGAGGAGTTGATTTGGGGGAAAGATAATGAGTTCTGTTTTGAATACCTTGATTTTGAGATGCCTAAAAAATAGAGAGTTTGAAATGTACAATAGGAAGTTGTTGATACCTGGAGCACTGAAGAGAGACTGGGGCTATATACATAGATCTTAAGAGTCATCAGCAGATATACATATACATATATATGTACATATATGTACACACACACACACATATGCAGAGAGAGAAACGGAGAAAGAATGAGAGAGAGAGAGAACAAGGCAAGAAAGAGTCCCTGGGAGGGAGGAGGTTCCACCTACAGTTAAGGGGTGGGATGTGGATATGAAGATTTAAGGAGAACAGTATTAGAAAAACCTAGAGGGAAAAAAACACACAATAAGAAAGTGTGGTGAACAGTGTCAGATGTTACAAAAGGCTCAAGAGGATGAGAATTGAGAAGAGGCCATTGGATGTGGCAATGAGAAGATGGCTAGTAACTTTAAAAAAAAACACTTGAAATTGAGTAAGTCAGAAGCCAGAATGGTAAAGAGTTGAGAAGAGAGTGATTGCAAGAGTAGTGGAGGAATGATTATGGACAGTTTTTTTTTTTTTTTAAGTTTTGAATTAGAAGAGAGGAGAGATATATGATGGTATCTTTTAAAGTTTGTTAATATCTAGAGAGGTTTTTTGGGGGTTTTGGTTTTGCTGGGTTTTTTTTTTTTTTTTTGCTTTTTTCATGGATAGGGCATGTTTGTAGGCAGCAGGGAATGAAGCAGTAGATAAGGAGAGATAAGGGAGGGGAGGGAATGCTTGTGAGAGGAATTTGCTGGATAAGATGGGAAGGAAATGGCATCGCAGGCACACATAGAAGGGTTAGCCCTGACAGGACAAAAGGCCATACCTCTTCATCAGAGATGAGAGCAAAGGAGGAGAAAATAGGAGGTGATGTGAGACGTCAACGAAGGAGCTCCTCACAGAGCAAGATCCTCATTTGAGACTGTTGACGAAGGAGTATCATGGCAGGCTTGAGGAGAGAAGAAGAGGTTCTCGGTGGATATACCTAGGCAATTTTTTCCTTTTCCTTTCAAGCTTAAGACTTTTTAAAAAATTAGAGGTTCAAAACTCGAGGCAAATATATTCTTGCCAGGCCTTTTGGGTGTATTCTGTCTTTTGTTAAGAGCCCATCGTTCCTACACATGGAGCCAAATTCTATCATTAGACACCGTCTTCTACTGTAAGGGGTCACCTAATGGACCTGCCACTGTCTGTTGTAGCCCATGCTACAGTGAACATGGGGATTGGTTACAACCAGGTTGGACCATGCCTTAAGGCAGTTGAACACGTGTTATCTGAAATTTAGCACTTTTCCTGGAGAAATTCAAGGGGCGGGAGATGATGCGCAGCAGTGGTCCATCAGCCCTATCGATTCCGGCCAGCCTATGGGTGGAACTTTGTGGTAATTGACACAAGCCTGTTTGTACTTTTATGTCCTGGTTTAGCACCTTCTGGAGGATACCTCATGGTTAGATTATAAACAGTAAGGCACTGAAATTTTAATTACTAACAATAGTAGTGGTGGTGGTAGTGGTAGCAGTAATAGTAGAAGCAGCGAAAATGTATATAGCACTTTAAGATTTGCAGAGTGTTATCTCATTTGATCCTCACAACAACCTTGAGAAGAAGGTGCTGTTATTATCCCCATTTTTACAGATGAAGAGACTGAGGCAAACAGAAGTCAAATGATTTGCCCAGAGTCACAAAACTAGCAAGTATGTGAATCAGGATTTAAACTCAAGTCTTCCTGACTCCAAGTCCAACATTTTACCCATTGCCCCAGTTACCTGTCCAGAACAGCTTTTTTTTTGCCAGAAAGATTTTATTTTATAGCATCCCCAAGGGCCCTCCAACTCACCCTAATCAGAGTTCTTGCTATATTATTTGTCCAAGTCTGTAGAATAAAAGTGGACAACTAATGGTACAGTTTTTAACTTAAATTGATACACCGTGGCAGTTGATTTAAATTATCTAGGCTCATGTCATGTCAACCTTGACTCCTTCAGTGTGATGTTTGCCATGTGACTCTGGTCCCCCTGGATCATTAATTGCTGTGCACATTGTGCTGACTAGCTTCTCTCCTCCTTTCTGGTGTGCTGTAGATGCTGCTAATGGGAACAGTAGTAATGGAGGGAGAACAACTACGTCCAGTTCCACCCCTGCTCGCCCGATGCCTCATTCTGTGTCACCCAGACCTGTCTATGCTGCAGGAGACCAAGGTATCTGAAACCCAAGCTGGAGGCTGGAGAGGATGGGTGTAGTTCTGGTAGAGTTTTCTGGCCATCCTAGGATGCCAGTAATAACAATACATCACATCTATATAGCACTTCTTACCTATCATAACATTTAAATCAAAGTCACTTTCCAAGTTGCAAGTTAATTCACTGCTTAGTTCACTCGTCTTTTGGCACTTTGTACATTTTTGAATGATGGGTGACCAGTGATGATTTCTCAAACCATTGAGATTCTGTTCTAGAGTATTGACTTTCTTTTCTTACACCCACAGCATCCATGTCCAGTTCAGGGCCACCAAAGAAACGACATCGGGGATGGTATCCTGGATCACCTGTCCCTCCACCTGCTATAGTTGTTCCCGTTCCTACAGTCCGACCTCTTGCAAGAACTGGTAAGACTTTTTAATAGGAAACTGATTTTAAAGATCTTACCAGGTGATGTTACTTTTTCTTCTCTCTTCTCTGTATCAGTACATTCAGGGTTCATTCTCTAATAAGATTCAGAACCCATGTAAATGTGATGCTATTCATTTTGTTATGTTTGGTCATTGAAAATAATGAGTTTGGGTTAAGATAATGCCCAGTTATGTCTTTAGCAACCCCTATTGCATGGGCAAGTCTCATACACACATACACACACACATACATACATACACACACATGCAAATTTTTCATGTTCTCTCTGTCTCTCTCTCAATCTCTGTCTCTTTGTCTCTGTCTCTCTTTCTGTGTATGTCTCTCTGTTTCTGTCTCTTGTTTCTCACTGTCTTTCTCTGTCCGTCTCTGTCTCTCTGTGTCTCTGTTTCTCTGTGTCTCTCTGTGTCTCTCTCTGTCTCCGTCTCTCTCTCTCCATGGTAGTGTAGAAGACATTACTGACTTTGAATTTAGCAGTTTTTTTAAAGATTTTTTAAAAATATATTTGTTTTCTTAAATATCTTCCAGTTATATGTAAAAAATTTAACATTCATTTTTTAAATTTTGAGTTCCAAATTCTTTCCCTCTTGCCCCTCGCCCTTGAGAAGGCAAGCAATATGATGTTGATTATACATGTGAAGTCATGCAAACCATATTAACAATTTTTAAAAATACTACAGAAAAATGTGATGCTTTCAATTTAGTATTTTTGCTTATTGGAAAAGATAGATTTATTTGTGTTCCCTTCTCTTAGTCTAACAAACAATTTTTTCCTTTGCCCCCCCTTTTTTTTTGCAGAGCCCCTTTTGTCTGTTCCTGTTCCGCAGTCCATGTTAACTGGAATTTTACAACCTCGGCCCATTCCTGCAGGGGAAACTGTAATTGTTCCTGAAAACTTGCTGAGTAACTCAGGAGTCAGACCGGTGATTCTGATAGGTAAGACCAAAGAACTCTAGACCATTCAAGCCTGCTTAATTAATCATTGTTCTCAAAAGGAAGTGTGGCATGATGGGAGAGAGAGCCAGCTTTGAGGCCAAGAAAACTTGGGTTTAAGTGCTACCTCTGACACTTAACTGTCTTTGTGACTTGGCACAAGTCATGTAACATCTAGGTTCTCCATGTAACTCTATAAGCTATAAAGAAGGCATCAGCTTTATTGGTGGAGGAAATTTCCTCGTCAGGGAATTCCCTGTATCAGTGAAATTAGAGGTGCAGTCCCTATCTATAGAGTCAGAAAATAGCTTTCTTTTAGACCAAGTTCTTCTTGAGTAGAGATAGAAGACCAGCAGTATCTAATTATTGCAGAGAATATTGCTAGCCAAGTAGCCTGAGAGTATCATGTTAGCTCCATTATTTTATCCATCTCTGCACATTCCATACAGCTTAATAAAGAAGATCTTAGACTGAATTAAATAGAACTTTAATATTTAGAACAAGGGGGGAATAGTCCCATTTGTATTCTCTGCCTGTCAGAGCACATCTAAAGTACCATTCAGTTTTGCACTTCTCGTTTTAAGAAAGACAATTGACAAACTGGAATTTGTCGAGAAGAGGACAGCGAGCCTGGTCAGGAAATTTAGAACCATGTTGTATGAGGGTCATTTCAATGACCTGGAGATATTTGCCCTGGAAAAGAAGAGCCTTAGAGAAATCATGATTGCTATCTTCAAATATTTAAAGGGCTATCATGTGGAAGAAAGATTATATCTATCACAGGGGGTCCCAGCAGGCAGACTAGGGTACGTGAGTTAAAGGCTGATTGCGGCTCAGTATTGATGACATTCCCAGGAATCAGAGCTGTCCTAGATAGAATTGGTTGTGCTATGAGGTAACAAATCCTCTTAACTGAAGGAGATTTGACTAAGTCACCTCTGGGTTCTCTTTCAGCTCTAGAATTCCATGACTGTATCCCAGGGCTGAAGATCTGAACTTCTGGAGAATTTAGTAGACCCCTTTAGGAGGCTCTTGTAGGGAGGCATTAGGAGTCTTTCCTTCTTGGTCTGAGGAGATAACCAGACTTGGTATTCCATTCAAGAGCCTTCCAGGGAATTCTGGTCTCTTCTGGGGGAGCCTAATTTTATCTAGATCCCTAAGGACCCTGCTAAAACTAACATATTACTTCCCTTTCCCATCACATTTAACCCCGATCTCTGGGGCTACTCTAAAGCAGAAATTGACTCTCTAACTTTTGTCCAAAGCAAGGATTCTAGCGTTGCTCTAGTCCTTAAGCATCTTTAAGTATTTGGAAAATATCTAGAGAAATGTGGGGTGGAGTTGGTGCTTTATCTGACCTCTACTAGTTGACACGAACAATTTAACTTGGGCCCCATGCTTTTGCAAAGTTATTCTTATATAGAGGTTACACTGTGTGCAGGGGGATTGCCCAGTCATTACAGTGTCATCATGCTAAGTGTATACTTACTGTGCAGTTGTGCAGTGGGTCTGTTAAAAGTGTTACTTTAAAAAAATTTTTTTAAATTTTAAAAAAGGTGTTATGTTAAAAAAAAAAAACCAACTCCTAACACTATAGAATTAAAGTATTGCTAAAACACCATAGAGTTTTCTGGACTATTGGAAAAGTATAGTTTTTGCCTTTGAAGAGGTTTAGAATCTAAAGGGATAAACAGGGCTTCTGTTGTTCAGTTGTGTTCCACTTTTCATGACCCCATTTGTGATTTTCTTGGCAAAGATACTGGAATGATTTGCATTTCCCTCTCCAGCTCATTTTACAGATGACAAAACTGAGACAAATAGGGTTAAGTGACTTGCCCAGGGTCACACAGCTAGTAAATGTGTGAAGCCAGATTTGAATTCAGGAAGATGAGTCTTCCTGACTCTAGGCCTAGCACTCCATCCACTGCACCACTTAGCAGACCCATAGGCTTCTAATAATGCCTTTAGTTTCTGCAGGACACTCTTCCACTCTGAAATGTCACTGAGGCCTCAGGGGTTTTGTTGTTGGCCCCTGTAGTTTCTTTTGTTGGTAAGAAAGAAGAAGCAGTTCACTTAAACTGAGAGTATTGTAGTACTGAAATATAGAACCTCAGAATGTTAGGCGGAGTGAGATGTTAAAGCTTCACTAATCCTACTCCTTTTTTATATTTTGATATTTTTAAGATTTATGCCTTCCCTACTTCCAAGAGGACTTGAGGTGGCTTACAGGTTAAAACACTGTAAAATAAGACAATTAAGGCTAAGACAAAACAGAGAATGAGGTTTTGAATTGGGCAGTGGATTTAGCTCCGGGCTTTCTAGCATCTAAGAAGGAAAAAAAGGAAAATGGGATTTTGCTTTGTCCTCTTACAAGAGGAAATGCAGAAATCCTTTTGCAAGGACATCTATCCCCTCTGGAACTAAACTCAAGCGGGTATTTTTATTCCGTAGGTCTTTATGAAGCTTGTGGAGTAACACAATGGACAGTATCTTCAATTGGAATTTTATAAAAAGATTCAGAAACTTTGGTTGAAATGAAAAATTTGCATTTCTATAGCACTTCATGGTTTTCTTCACCAGAGCACTGGGAGAGATAGTTTGTCATCATTCCCATTTTACAGATGTATGAACTGAGAGTCAGAAAATGACTTGGTCAAGGTGACTGTGACCAGGACTGTAAGAGCCAAGATTCAAACCCAGTTCTCTTGCCACTCGCTCTAGCATGTATTCCAGGGCACCTGGCTGTCTTGTTCATTTAAGACTCATCTCCCATGTGGGTAAGACAGTCACCTAAACCTAGCATCTGTAAAGGCAGAGTGTGAAAACAGATTGTGACTTAGCGTCAGTATTTCTGAGAGGGACTGAGATGAGGGGGTCTGAGTCCCCTTTTCCCTGTTGGGGTCCCACAGCGCAGTGACAGATAGAACCTGGGCAGTCTAGATGAATCCTCTAGTGTTAATATCCTCTGGGGATTTCCTTTTTTATTACAGGTTATGGCACTTTACCCTATTTCTATGGAAATGTTGGTGATATTGTAGTCAGTCCCTTGCTTGTGAATTGCTACAAGATTCCACATCTGGAAAATAGAGAATTGGAGCAGTTGGGATTGAATGGAAGCCAGTTATTAAGCGTGGAAAACATGATTCTTCTAACTATACAGTATCTTGTGCGGCTGGGTAAGCTACTTCTTTTCTGCGTTTGGTAATTACTGTTTTTATTCCTTCTCTCTCCCTTTCCTTCTTGCTCTCTGTCTTCTCTCCTCTTCTCTTCTCTTCCTCTCTTTCTCTTTGTCTCTCCCTTTCACCACCTTCTCCCTCTCACTCCCTTTTCCCATCACCTTCTCACTTCCTTCTCTCTCTCTCTCCCCCTTTCCTTCCTCTCCCTTTCATTACCTTTTCCCTATCATTCACTTTTCTCTTTTCTTCTCCTTACTCTGTTCCCTCTCCCTTTTCTTCTTCTCCCTCTCATTCCCTTCAGTCTCCCTTTCCTTCTCCTTCTCCCTCCCCACCTCCTCATCCATATCCTCCCATCGAGGAGTATTTTTTCTTACATTGTTCCCCCTTTCTGGTCACCTTAGCTTTTGTTTTTCCATTTCTGTTCATTCTCTCCCCCTCCTGTTTCTTTTTCTTCTCAGTCCCTTCCCCTACCTTTTCCCCCTCTCCAGCCTTCTACATTTTTTAGGGGCTTGGAAGAGAAGAATTGCTCCATCTAGTGTTTTGACCAGTCTAGCTGAAAGCAAGGATGGTTCATTAGCTTCCCAGGCTTTCCCTGGGAAGACTAGCGTTGCCACTTCCCTGAGAATGCAGTCATTCTTAAATGCAAATGAGCCCACTTGCATGGTATCTCTTGTTTGATGCACACTGCCCTCACACCCCAGTCCTGTTTTGTTTTTCTCCTTAGCTACACCCTTACCCCAACCCCCTCTAGAATAATAGCTAGTTTTAGCACAGTTGGCACTTGGGACTATGAAGGAGGTCCTTGGGGACCTTTGGGGTGGTGTAAAAAGGACAAGAACCCTCATTCTCCATATTTATTGTTACCTGCTCTCTAGCTACAACCCCAGGCCACACACCATGGATAAGCCAGGGTTCCACAGCAGGTGTTTGCAGGTGTGCAGTCACCACCAGCCAGGCTATGCAACATTTACATGGAAATGAACCTTATTGTGCAAACTGAAAGTGACCCATCCCAAATGCAAGCTAATTATAGGTTCCCCACAGGCCTTCAAGCCTTCCAGGCACTGGGCAGCTTAGAGGGATTTGTAAAAATACAGTATATTTGAGTGCTCTAAGAGAGATCCAAGAAGCACAGGATTAAGGATATTTTAGGAAGGACCTGTAGAGACTTTGAACCTTCAGGTCTCCTCCTACGCTCTCCTCAGGCTTTCATTGTAAGCTTGGGATCTGCAATTATTCTCATTTACATAATAAGAAAGAAGGCATGCTGGGATGAATGTGGTGTAGTAGATTTTAATGCTGGACTTAAGAGTCAGGGAAATAGGAGTTAGAATCCTGCCACCAGCACACAGTCAGCCAATAAACGTTAATTAAGTGCCTGCTGTGTGCCAGGCACTGTGATAAGAGTTAAGGATACAAAGAAAGATACAGCCCCGGCTCTCAAGGAACTGAAACGGGAGAGATAACATGGAAAAACTGCGGACAAACAAAATATGCATAGGACAAATTAGAGCTAATCAACAGAACTAAGGCAACACATTAAAGGAAGATCTGGAAAGGTTTTGGGGGCTTGGGTTTTTTTTTTTTTGTTTGCTTGTTTATTTTTGGTTAAAGGTGGGATTTTCGCTGGGACTTGAAGGAAACCAGGGAAGCCAGGAGGCAGAGACAAGGAGGGAGAGCATTAGAGGCGTGAGAGAGCCCAGAGAATCCCTGTGGTGTGATGCTGACAAAGTAATTAACTAACCTCTTTTAGCTTCAGTTTCCTAATCTGTAAATTAGGCATAATAATAGCATGTGCCTTGCACAGGGGTATTGTTGTAAGGCCCAAATTAGATAATTCATGTAAAGCTCTTTGCAAAAGCCTTAAAGTGCTCTATAAACATTCCCTATCACTATTGTTTTAAAAATAATTACTATGAAACCACCCAGTTCTTCGAGGCAGATGATATCATTAATTTGACTTCCATTTATTCAGGACCAAATAATTTAGGTTCAGAAATCAAAGGAACAAAACTATGTATTCTAGATATTTGAGAAGAATCAGGCTTAAGTTTTTTGCCAAATTGGTGAAAAGTTTGAAAATCAGTTTTAGTGAATGAAATGGAATATACAGTCAAAGTGACTGCTGATTTGTTTGTTTTAATGCCAAATCAGGTTATGCTTTAAATTACTTTACTTTCATGTTGAGATACTTTATTCTTTAAAAAAGGAGAAAAGCTGGATTCCATGATGCATATACTTTGGGGACACCATTCTTAGCCTTTTGTTCCGGAGTTTTATCTTCTATTGATTAGGTTTCCCCATGTGCAATGTTAAATAATTATTTTTAAATCTTAACCACCTTCATTGTTTGCTGCTCTCCTGCTCACCCCCAAAGACATAATGTTCAGCTAACTCTTGGAGGTAATGCTATTCTAGATAAAAGTTTCAGTCTTGAAAAGGCATTGAGTGTTTGCAGAGAAACTACTTCCACATTATAGATTTTTTTTTAAAGTAAATCCAAACCTAGAGGGTTTTTAAATAACCAGAAATTGATATTTGGTCTTCAGGTAGTTGCATCACTGCCGGGTAATTTTATAAGAAGCTAGGGTAATATTCTTTAGAGAACAGCAGTACACTCCACAATAATTTCTTCTCTCTCTCTACAATTGCTCTGTGATTTCTCTGTCAGAAAATCTTTTGAACCACACTGTGACAAGGGCTAATGCCCAGAATCCTGGGTCTGATTAAGTTGTTAAGAGTGTTCAGAATATATTGGGACCAAGCCTTCTCCTCTTGAAGTAGGTAGCTATAGTGGAAAATCTCATCAGAATTGATATCTGGTGAGTCAGTAAAGATTAGTACTTGATGAGGGGAGAAAAATCATATTATTGTCGTTTATCCATTAGGTGAGCCTAAAGGGATGATTGGAAGTGACTGGAAGCCCATCATTCTCCCCTTGAAGAAGCTTGTTAACCTGATTTAACTTGTGTTATATATCCTTCTTCCCCAGCCTGCCCTGGCTCCCTTAGCTCAGTGCCTGCCCACCAATACTTCAGTATAAATTGCTTCAAGAGAATTGTGAATATTATGGACACTTCAGACAATTTTATTGCATTTTTAGATTCAACGGTAAATATGCTAAATTAGATTAACTCAAAGGTTCTCAAAGAAGGTGTTACGGTACTGTCCATTTTTGTCCTTTGAGTCTCTGAGCTAAGTAATAATAAAAGCTAACCCTTATGTAGTGTTTACTATGAGCCAAGCACTGTGCTAAGTCCTTTACGATTATTTTCTTATTTGATCTTCACAACTACCATGGGAGGTTGGTACTATCTTTACTCCTATATATTATATATAAGGAAATAAGATCAAGTGACTTGCCCAAAGTCACACAGCTACTAAGAGTCTGAGGCTGGATTTGAACTTAGGTCCTTCTGACACCAGGCCTGGTACTCTTTCCACTGCACCACTTAGCTGTGAATTGTAAGGAAATTACGTTTGTAATAAGTGTGTGTGTGTGTGTGTGTGTGTGTGTGTCTGTCTGTCTGTCTGTCTGTCTGTCTCCCTCTTTTCTCAGTTTGGATCCCATTTCCTCAGGTAACAAATACCATAACATGAGTAAATAAAGTTTGAGAACCATGCCTTATTTGCCACTGGCCACAATATTAATGTGTTTAAGCTAAACTAAACCAGGAATACTGGTGCTTACACAGAGTAGAGATAAGGAATTCCCTCATATTTGCAATTTGAACAGGATACCTTAATGGAACACTAGACCTTTGGTTTCTTCTAAATGGGTTTAAATACCAGTATTAGAAGTGATAGCAAAAGGGGGAGTGACAAAGATGGACTGATTTTAATCTAACTCTGACCTCTGTGAGTATTGTAAAAGTAGTTAATTAATGATAGTAGGTGATTTAGAAAGTAGAAATGTAATATAAGAAGAGTGAAGAGAGAAAAAGTACCCTAGGATGTCTACCTTTATTTACAGAAAAAGTTGTTTTTCCAATAAAATGGATAATGGATAATCTTCCATGTTTTTCTTTTTAAAAAAAAAATTTCAGTTTCCTTCCTCTCCCAGTTTTTTGCTTATTTAAATAATCCTGTTCAGATAAAAAATAATTTTTAGAGTTACCAGGAATGGCTTCCTTCAGGGTAGCAGTTTCGCACCTTATCTGAACCTTAATCTGACCAAAGGGCCTGCCTGTTTCTGCAAGACCTATGCAATAGAAGTCTTCCTTAATTTGGGTTAATAAAGGTATGCTCTGTCTATAGTATCATCATTGAGGTATCCTTGGAAACGTGTTTATATCTCACTGAGTTCGCTGTTCATGAGAGAGTAATAAAACTGAACAGATTCTAATGCAGGGGGTGAACAGTACTTGTTTTTACCTCTTGGATTTAAATATAAACTAAAAGTTGGAATATCCATTTACTTATATTCCCAGAATACTACAATCCCATCTTGTTTCTTATATTCCAAAGCCTGTTTGAGTTTGAAAACAGAACGAGAAAAACAAGCTTCAAGATATTATTATGGCCATGGGTCATAATATACAGTCAACATGATGGTGACTAGAGTGGGGAAGCATTGAAGGAAAGCCAGCTGATGAAAAGAAAACATGTTCTTTCTCTGGGAAAGGCATCAAGCTTCCTAGCAAGCTGAGATCCTCTCTCCCCCAGAAAAAACTGGATATGATCCCTGTTACCATGGAGGCTGTAGTAGGTGGATTGTTTGAACTCCAGAGTGCAGCATTGAAGGTTGCGGTAGGGCTTATGTCCAATGGGTATCACACTAAGTCCAGCACTAGTATGGTGAGTCCCCCAGGCATGGATCACCAGACTTCCTAAGGAAGGGCAAATGTGTCTAGTTTAGAAACAGAGTAGGTCAAACTTGTATTCCAGTCAGCAACAGGATTCGATCTGTGAGTGGCTGTTGTACTCAGAGCTGTGAAATTAGGAAGTGTGTTAGGAGGAACAGTATCCTAACTCTTGTTTCTCCATGCAAGTTGGCCTAGGCCCTAGGGTTTTCCTTAAAAGATATGAGAAGCAGCCTCACGTTTAAGTTGGCTCACAGGGACTAAAGTCTCAGGCTCCTGACATCGCTTCCTGTGGTCACCTGAGTACAAAACAGTTAGGAAGAGCTCCAGGCCCACTCTCTGGCACTTGGGTGGTGGACCACAGTGGTCAACCCTTGCTGGCAAGAGAGCTTTACTTGAGCATCAATTTCTGGTGTCCTCAGTACCTTTCCTTGTTGAATATCCCTCTCTCGCTTAAGTCTCCTTTTGTTAACTATTGAATGACCTGTGAGACACTCATTGTTCCATTATTGAACCTGAACCATTAGGAGACTGGCCTGAAACAAACTCAACCTATTAATAAGAGGATTGGGCAAGATGACCAATAAAGTCCATTCCAACTCACATTTATGAGCCTGTAATTTCTCTCTCTCTCTCTCTCCCTCTCTGTCTGTCTCTCTGTCTCTCTGTCTCTCCGTTTCTCCCTCTCTCTGTGTCTCTCTTTCTCTGTCTGTCCCCCCTCCTTCTCTCTGTCTCTGTCTCTCTGTCTTTCTCTCTCACTTTCTCTTTGTCTCGATGTCTGTCTCTATTTAGTGGGCAGATTTTTGATTACAAGTGCGATTCTTTTCAATTTAGGTCCTGATCAGATACCTCTCAGGGAAGAATTTGAGCAGATCATGCTGAAAGCTATGCAGGAATTTACTCTTAGAGAGAGATCCTTGCAGATGAGTGCTCAGTGCATCTCTGTGTCACCAGGTCAGCTCCCCTGGCTTGCTAGACTAATTGCCAGTGTATCTCAAGATCTGGTTCATGTGATTGTCACCCAGAATTCTCTGGCTGAGGGCATTTCAGAGACACTGAGAACTCTCAGTGAAATGAGACATCAACAAAGACTACCAGACTACGTGGTGGCAATCTGCTCATCAAAGATCAGAGGAAATGAATTTTGTGTGGTGGTCCTAGGTGAGTAATTTCATGAATATGACACTGACATAACATAGTAATATTTCTTGCCGAGTGACCTAACTCAGACTCTCCCTCCTTATTCTGTACTTTTCTTTCCCTCTTGGGTGTAATTTCCTATTTCCATTGGCTTCCATTTGGGTGTTTTCTGAACAAATCTAGAGAGATGTCACTTCTGGGATAAAGCATAAAGCCCTCCAATTGGTATTCAGAGCCCCTCATAACCTGGACACCCTTCCTACCTTTCTGGTCTTCCTTTCCCCCACCCCACCCCCATTTTAGGAAGCAAACAGGGTTAAGTGACTTACCCAGGGTTACACAGCTAATAAGTGTCTAAGGCCAGATTTGAACTCAGATTCTCCTGACTCCATGGCTGGTGCTCTATCCACTGTACCACCAAGCTGTCCCCATTCTAGTCTTCTTATAGTCTGTGACCCAGTGACATTGGCCACCTTGCTGTCTGTCACACAAGACACTCCGTTTCCTGACTCCATGCATTTTCACTGGCTGTCCCCCATGCCTGGAATTCTCTCCTCATCTCAGTCTCCTGGACTTCCTGGCCCAAATAAGATCCTACTTTTTACAAGAAGCCTTTCCTAATGCCCCCTTAATGCCACAGCCTTTCCTCTGTTGATTATCTTCAATTTATCCTGGCTGTATCCTGTTTGTACATAGTGGTTTTCATGTTGTCTCCCCATTAGGCTATGAGCTCCATGAGACAAGGACTATTTTTTTTTTTGCCTTTCTTTGTATCCTTTAATACTTAGCACAGCCCTTGGCACATAGTAGTCTTTTAATAAATGTTTATTATCTGACTGACTGGCAGCTGGTTGTGGGAAAGTTACAGCAGTCACTTATTCTTCCATACATCACTTTTGTCCTTCAGACATTTGGGATACTGTAGCACAGACCAGGCCCAATGAGTCTAGGGTGCTTATGACACTTTTTCAATATTTATTTATTCACTGGAAAGTGTTTTTAGTATCATAACACTGACTGGTAGACTTGATAAAAAGCAGGCATGTTGCAGAATGTGATTCCATGAATGCTGTTTTTCTACAAGTGTTAAAAAGACTTTTAAAAAATCAAATCAAGTGATCTTATTAAATATCTCTATATAAATGTCAAAAAAAAGCCGGGCTGGGGGGAATCTTTGTGAAGCCATCCATGGAGTTTTAAGAACTCTGTTCCTTTTCTTTACTGTTGTCTTCTACCTCCCCCATGACTGTAACCCTGCCAGAGCAACTGGGAACCATGTGAGTTGAATGAATGAATGAACAAGCATTTATTAAGCACTCACTTTATGCCAGGCACTGTGTAATAGGTTGGTAAAAATATGTGCCTGGAAGTTTCATCAGACAGCCCGCAGTCATCATTCATTTCTCCTGTCCCTCTCTCCTCCAGGTCAGTATCAGTCCAGAGCCTTGGCAGAGAGCATGCTTACCACAAGTGAGTTTTTGAAAGAGATTAGTTATGAGCTCATCACAGGAAAGGTCAGTTTCCTGGCATCCCATTTCAAAAACACCTCTTTAGGTAAGTGGATACAAAAGCCAGCAGCTCTCCCAGTAAACTGCTGTATTGCTTTTCAGGGTTCTATCATAGGCTAGCCATGAGACTTGTGCTTTCCCCACTGATCCTAGGGGTTCAGAGTTAATATTGTTGTTACTGTTGTTGTTTATCCGTTGTTCACAAAAGGGACCCCATGGTCCCATCAGGGAGGTGATGCCATGACATGTAGGTGAATTGGATTTAAATGAGGGAGGGCTGTGCAAAGTCACCAGCCTCACTCTTTCCTCCCGAGCCATCTGGGTCCAGTGGCCAGATGCAGATCAGGACACTGGAGATGACCCAGGATGCAGTGGGGGACCTTGGCCTTTTCAAGCTAAGGTCTTTAACAAGTCTGAGTTTGACTGAGGCAGTGCCCATTCAGTGATTAAGGCTTAATAAGAAATGAGGCAGAGAATGGTCTCTTTACCTAGTGAAAAAATAATAATATTAAAAAAATATTTTGAAAATCAATCCGGGAGGGGAAGACCTTAGTTACTATTTTGTTTCTTACTATTTTGTTAATGGTCTCATAGGGAAACAACCAAGGAGGCAATCAGCTGTGAACTCCGTCAAACAAAGGCTGAGTGCCTGGCAGTCACTTCTAAGTGCCAAGTCTAACTGGCATGACCCTGGTCACCCTGGAACCTTATGATTTATGAAAGCCTCATTCCTTATAATCCTCTTCTCTCTGTCATCATTTCTTTCACAGGTGATGATCTAGATAAATTACTAGAGAAAATGCAGCAGAGAAGAGGGGACAATGTGGTTACCCCTTTCAATGGCGATGTTAATGAATGTGTATCATCTCAGGAGGCAGCCGCCATGATTCCCACACAGAACTTGGGTAATGTTTCTTCAAACTAGACACGTGGAAATAAGTTCTTAATAAAGATGTGACAAAGTCTCTTCTCTTGTCATGGTTTGGTAGAAAGACCATTGGAGTGAGAGTCAGGAGACTTGGGTTCAGGTCCCAGCTCTTGATATTTACTATCTGGGTGACCATGAACAAGTCACTTAAAAGTCTTCTAAGCCTCATCTATAAAATGGAGATAATAATTGTAATACCTATCTCACAAAGTATTTGTGAGGAAAATGTTTTGTAAACAAAGTACTATGTAACCATGAGTTGGTTTGTTTTTATTTGGGGGGGGCATATAGTCCTGTGATTTTTTCAGGTAATTTTATTTTTATCATGCTAAAGTATTTCTTTTTAGTAGCAGAATCAATCTAGGTTCTAGGTTGATGAGTTCCTAGAATTTGGAAAAAAAAATAAGATTTTCAGTCTTTTTTTTTCTCAAAAGACTTCAGCTGAACTCAGTGCTTTTTCCTTAGTTGTTGATTATGTCTCTTTGTGTTTGGTTTAGTACTTCACAAGAGGATGCCTGGATAAGGTCCATGATCCCAGAGTTGGTGAACTCTGCCTTGTGTTTTGGTGGCTTTCTTCCATAGTCCTTTAGGGTAATACTTAAACTGGGAGAGACCTCTTTTGCAAAATCTGCATACCTTCTGTCTCAAGCAAGCCATGAGAGACTCATTGAGCAAATAGTTCTAAAATACAGTGAGTAGAAGGCCTCTGAGTTGAAACTTCAGGAGCATGGAAGAAATGGAAGAGGGAAGATCCAGGGAGAAAGTGGCTGCTGGGTGGATGATAAGGTTTAGGGTACAAATTCCTAACTATGCCCAAGCTGCTTTTTGATAGGAAAGAACAAAAGAAGGAACAGACAAAAAGCCAATCTAGAAAAGCTGTTTGAGAGGGCCTAGGTGATCATTACAAAGACAAGTGGTCTTGGACCCATTAATGCTATAATGTTTGCCAGCTGTGAGTAGAGTACACAGCATCTGTTTGATCAGAGGAGAGGCATAGGTAGCAGTCCTTTAAGAGATTTTTGTATTGCTGAAAGTGCAAAAATCCACTAAATCCTGCCTATCGCAAGTCTTCTTAACCCATGTTAATATTTTTGTGCTTCTCCTTTCCCTCCTCCAAGGGGAAAAAAACCAACCCACAAAAGAAATCACTCTGTAAAAGTCAGAAGACAAATAATAATTTTGTGCTTGGTTATCAACATTAAATATCAACTGCATTGTGCTGCATGTAACAAAGTGTTGGCCCTGGGCTTTCCTGGTAACCAGTATATGGGTAACAAGCTTCCGGAAGAAGTCCCCTGAAATTCAGAGATGGTTGTTTTTTAAATTGACTTGCCTTTGGGTTTGATTCCATAAAACATTAAGCATAGATTATTTGGATGATTACAGTATTTTCACCATAAAGCTTTCCTATAGATTCCCACATAAAAGTCAGCGCTTTGAAAAAGCAGTTTCATGGCATGAGCCCTGGTCTTTGGCAGAGTAAATCTCTCTCTCTGGTGGAGTTTTTTGTTGTTGTTGTTGTTGTTGTATTTTGTTGTGTTTTTTTTTGTCCCTCTACTCCTGGTGACCCTAACCAATTACTATGAGTCCTGCTTCTGTCACTGATATGCTTGAACACTCTGAAAAGCATTAGGTGGTGTTGTTTTTCAACTAAGTTACCTATTCAGGGACTGGTCAGCTATGGTAGGGGTCATATCAGTTCAGTAAGTGCAGGCATTAGCATTAGAATTTTAGTAGAACAATCTAGAGACTTCAGGTCACCGTCCATTTGCAAAATTGCAACACCATGACACCATTGAAAGAAAAGGCTTCTATCAGACCACAGAGAAAGAGACTTTTAAGAATATTACCATAGACTAGACAGGCATGAAGGAGGGTGTTTACTGGGCTATGTGGTTCAGGAAAATTCAGTGTAATACAGGGTCACATGATTCCTCAAATTTCTTCTCAGGAATACTACCATTCACTTTTTTAATAGCTTAAATCACCTTTGTCTTGAGCAAAAGACATATACATGCACAATATACTATTTTACCCCATATCCTAAGACTCCTGAACTCTGGGGTATGCAGTCACAGATATGCCATGGATATTATACTGCTGTTTCTAAAAAAAAAAAAAAAAAAAATTCTCTTCTTTCCCAGGTAACTGGTGACTGAAACGCCTTATTAGCATCTTTCCTATTTCCAATGTAGAGATTGCTGGATGGATAATTAAGGAGAGTCAAAATTTTAGGTTGATGTGTGGCTACTCCTTTGCGATAATTCATATGGCTGGTTGGTCAGTCAGGAAGTATTTATTAAGTGCTACTATGTGTCAGACACTGTGCTAAGTAGTAGGGATACAAAAATATCCTCCTCCTCCTCAAAAAAGTCTCTGCCCTCGAGCTGCATACCTTCTAATGAGGGAGAGAGCATGTAAACAATCAAATACATAGTCAGTCAGTGAACATTTATTCAGCACCTACTATGTTCCAGGCACTGCATTAAGTGCTGAGGATACAAAGAAAGATAAAAGACAATCCCTCTTCTCAGGGAGCTCGAAGGTAATCTGAGAGGGGAACTGCCCCAGTTTCCCAAAGGTATCAGGACAACCAAGCTTCAGGGAAAGAGGGTCAGCTGCATCAGAAAGTGATAATTCTAGCAAAATGGGGCACTTTTCCTGCTACCCTGTAAGTGTGATAGGCCCTACAACATTCAGAATGCTTTGCTAACTGCCACTATCAAGGCAAATTAATCCTGTCCTTGTGGCTTTTTTGTTTCATTTTAGATGTAGATAATGACACCTTCCAAATTTATCAACCACAGCTCACAGTTGCCAGAAAACTCTTATCTCAGGTGTGTGCCATAGCGGACAGCGGCAACCAAAGCCTGGACCTGGGCCACTTCAGCAAGGTGGATTTTATCATTATAGTCCCACGTTCAGAAATTCTAGTACAACAAACTCTTCAACGAATTCGACAATCAGGTAGGTTGGAAGCGTGTGAAGAGGACCCCCAACATACAGACTTAGATAGAAACCCTCTTTTTTTTTCTTTTTTTATCCAAGTGCTCATTGGCCAATTGCATTATAGTACTGATAGTGACAGTATATGGAATTTTCATGTCTTTTTCCATCAAAAGTCTGTCATTATTTTTCTTCTAGGGACCTATATGTGTTTGTCAGTTACAGCTCAGCCTATTTATCTGGGAAGTAAACATGGTAATTAATCTGAGTTAACTAGCATGAATGGGATATTTGGTATTTTAGTTACCTGAACCCTCCTACCACCACCAACTAATTGAGAGATAACTGCACCCCTTCCCCCCCACCAGTTAACTGAGAGATAGTTTAATTATTCAGTGAAACTTCTTAGGGCAAGGATGCTCCTGCAGACGGTTCTTTGCCACTTGGATTTCTAAAAAAATATATATATATATGTCAATTAAATAGTTTTAGATCAGTTAAATAGTTTTAGGAATACAATGCTGTACCAACCCCCCCAAAAAAACCTGCCCAGATTGACTCACTTTGAAAGAGACTTCATTAATGAATGAATGTCTAGATAGATAGATAGATTAAATAAATGAAGTTGCCTCTTGTGCCTTTAGCCAAACAAAATAAATCTAAAGGGGGGAAAATGCTGTTTTTCATGATATTCCATCTAGGTAGAAGCAGAAAGCTTCAGAAGACTAAGAGAAATAAAGAGATACTTAAAAAATAAAGATTGTTTCAAAAAATGTTAGAAGATAGAAGTGGTTCTGAGAAAAAGAGAACATTGGAAAAGTACTTGTGAAAGTTATCAGGTTTTAAAACACCATGAAAAAAAGTGTGAATGTGAAGTTGACTGGTTTTCTTAGCTGCAAAATAAATTTAGCTACAGGCAGAATTGGCCTGTATCAAAAATGTAGTTCCTATAATTTGAGAAACACAGAGTAGAAGACTTAAGAAGTTCTTAGGAAATTGCAGGCAAATAAAAATGGAAGTTTGTGTTGAATGATAGAATTTTAGAGTTAGAAGGAACCTTAATAATCATTTTGTCTAGTCCCCTTATTGGACAGATATGAAAATGAAAGGAATTTTCCCAGGGTTCCCCAGTTAGTTAGTGACAGAGTAGGGACCCAAACCTTACACTTCCATCTCCCAGGCTAGTGTGCTTTCTGTGACATTGAAGAGTTTGAAGGAAGGTTAATCAGGTACTGGGTTGGGGCAGCTACATGGCACGGTGGATAGGGCACTGGCCTGGGAGTCAGGAGGATCTGAGTTCAAATCTGGCCTCAGACACATAATACTTACTAGCTGTGTGACCCTGGGCAAGTCACTTAACCCCATTGCCTAGACAAAAAAAAAACATCAGTTAATGGGTCAACAAGCATTTATTATACACCTATTGTGTGGTAGAAACAAAAAGACAATAATGAAACAGCCCCTCTCCTCAAGGAGCTTCTGCTGACAGAGGAGACCACTGCTATATCTGTTAAATGTATACAAAAGCTATACCAAATAAATACAAGATAATTGAGAGGTGGGGGAGGCACTGTTTGGTAGCTAGGAGGATCAGGAAAGGCCTCATTTAGGAGGTGGGCCTTGAGCTGAGCTTCGAAAGAGGCTGGGGATTCTGAAGCAGGGCATTCTAGGCATGAGAGACAGCCTGAGCAAAGACAGATAAAGCAGGTGGAATGCCATGTGTAGAGCTGGTTTGGTTAGACCATCAAGTAAGTGAAGGGGAGTAATGTATAACAAGCCTGGAAAGATAAACTGGGACCAAGTTGTCAAAATAGATACCAATACCCTTCCCTTCTCCAAAATAAACATCCCCAGTTTCTTCAGCCTGTTATTTTGTGGAATTAGTTTATTTTTTTAAAAAAATAGTTTTATTTATTTCATTAAATATTTCCCAATTACATGGAAAACTTTAACATTCACTTTTTAAAACTTTGAGTCCTAAATTCTCTCCCTCCTTCCCATCCCTCACCCACCATTGAGAAGGCAAACAATCTATAGATTATACATGCTAAGTCACGCAAAACCTATTTCTGGCATCAGTTTATTAACATAAATTAGTATCAGGCTGATGAAATACAATCAAATCTTAATTCATGGTGGATAAGGGTCATTGTAGTTTTTGTAACTATTATTCTGCTACTCCTTTTCTACTCTTAAGAGAACCATTGGTGAGAAGCAGTCTTAGGAGGGAGGAATCATCGGGGTCAAGGGCATCAGGAGATTAGGATAAAGTAGATAGTGCCTTGCTTGGATTTCTCCTTTGCTCCAATCACCTTTTTTCTTTTCATAATGTTCATAAATATGTCTCATTCCCATTGGATTTGTAAGGTCTTTGAGAGCAGAGGTCACATAGTTTTTTAGCTTTATTTACTCATTAACACGCTCATACTTGTGAGTGAGGTTGAAGTGGAAAAAGAATCTTCCCTCCAACCATATCAAGAGAATGTCATAAGTTGATACCTAAACTTATTGATGCTATTAAAACCTCAAACCATGTAAGTCAATCATGATTGGAATGATCTTGGATTACAAATTTATATTTAAACTTATTTTACCATATGATTCTTAAGATTCATTTTAAGAAGGTGGTAGAGATTTTGGTGATGATAGTGGTGGTAGGGCAGGGAGCAAAAATCAGAGCTAAGGAGAGAAATGGGCACTTTAAAAGATGGTCTTCCAAAAAAAAAATGGTCTTCAGAGATATTATTGCTATCAACTTTGTAGCCCTCTGCCAGTCACCTAAAATTTAAACAATGAGGAACATTTTCTAGGACCAGAGAGGAAAGGGAAAGTTACAGAATTTGGGAGCTGGAAGGAATCCTAGACATCTCTGATCCTTACCTCCCATCATTGTTGTTGTTCAGTCATTTTGACTCTTTGTAACCCCATTTGGAGTTTTCTTTACAGAGATAATGGAATGGTTTGCCATTGCCTTCTCCAGCTCATTTTATAAATGAGGAAACTGAGGCAAACAGGGTTAAAAGACTTGTCCAAGGGCACACAACTAGTAATTGTCTGAGGCCAGATTTGAACTCAGGAAGAAGGCCCATCACTCTACTGCACCAGCTCACTGCCCACCCTCACCTCCATTATACAGATGAGAAAACTGAGGTTCATAGACTTGAAATGTCTTGCCCAGAAGGGTCAAAGTTAGGATTAGTCCCTGAGTCTTGTTTACTGGTGCTCTTAGAGTTATTTCTTTCTGCCTTATGTAAGTTACGGACCACCCTGTCCTTGTAAGGAGAGAGAGAGGAAGGGAGAGAAAGAGAGACAGAGAATGAGACAAGAACATGTTACTGAATGAGGAAACTCCTTCTTCCAATGCAAGTTGGTACCTTCACTATAATTTATACTCTTAGAGACTTTCTTAGAACACTGAGACATTAAGTGGCTTGCCCAGTATGTGTCAAAAGTAGGACTTGAAAAACACACACACACACACACACACACACACACACACCCACACACCCACACACCCACACACCCACACCCACCCCTCTACCCCTTCCTGACTTCAAGGCCCGTTTTCTATGACCTGGGCCACACTGCCTCTCTTTCTGCTTGTGGGAAAAGCCAACAACAACCGAGAATTGCTTTGCAGAAATACATCTGGAAAAATGATTTTGTGTTTTGAGAACCAAGGAGTCCTCAGCAGGATGTAACAAATAGATGACCACAAGGAGAGTCAGAAGATCAGCATTCATATCCCAGCACTGGGGCTTCCTAGCTGTGTAAGAAATTCACTGAAACTCTCTGAGCTTTAGTTCCCCCCCACCCCTGATCCTGCCTCCTCAAAGCGGAAAAATATACTGCCTATCCTCACAGAGTTGTGAACAAATTACTTTGTAAATCCTAAAACTCTTTATGAAGATTAATTGTTATTAAATTATTGTTAGAATTTTCAGACAGCAAACCTATATATATACATATATATTAGCAAAACTTGTGTTTGATTAGGAAAAAGACAAAAAAGAATTTGGGCATTAAGTCAATCACTTAATCAATAAGCATTTATCCTAGGCCCTGGTAATAAAAAAAAAAGACAAAAGTAAAACTTTTTAATAGAAGATACAACATGTACACTTATAAATATATACAGAATATGAACAAAATGAATGTAATAACCAAATTTTGTGCATGGAGTCCAGAAGAATTCATTCATTCAGTTACTTTTATTAAATTCTTTATGTGGGCCAGGCACTATGGTAGATACATAGGAAAGAGAGAAACAAAGCGCTCTTTGTCCCTTTTGCGTGCATCACATATCTTTCTCTACCTGGTGGGAGCTGGAAAGGTAAATAGATAACTCACTTATGTAGCATGATGAAATTTACAGTGTTTGTTTCCTCAGTAATCCAATAGGTGGCTCAGCTAAAGTTCTGGGCCTGGAGTCAGGAAGACTCATCTTAGTGAGTTCAAATCTAACTTCAGACACTTCCTAGCTGTGTGACCCTGGACAAGTCATTTAGCCCCTGCCTCAGTTTCTTCATCTGTCAAATGAGCTGGAGAAGGAAATGGCAAACCACTACAGTATCTTTGCCAAGAAAACACCATATGGGGTCATGAAGTGTTGGACATGTCTGAAAAACAACAAAATCCTATGGGCAGGTATCTCCTTAAAAGATTAGGAAAATGAGATTCAGAAAGGTTGCAAGTGGGGCTGGCTCCACCCCTTCTTGACTCCATAAAGATAGGGAATGGAAGCTATAGGACTAAGCCCCCAAGAAAGAGCATTTTGTATGAACACATCCAAATATCTCCAGCAAAGTGTAGGCAGTGGCCTCGCCTGGTTGGGGCCCGGAAAAGAATTATCTCATCTCTGGGGTGGAGATAGCATGTGGGGGAGGCAGAAGGATGGCTGCAGATCTATAAGTGCCCCAGACCTTCAAATATATCAGCAGATTCCTTCATTGGATCTAAAATTGTGCAGATCAGAGATCTGCTTTTAAAAGTTTCCTACTCAGTGCATGTCTCTACAAACA